CTGACTGGCTCTTCTCCTCCCCATGACCCTTCCGAAAGGGGCTGTCCAATTGCCTACAGGTGGGCTTTGGATCCCCAATCTGCACTCCCCCTTATTGACAATGATATGATTTTTTGTTCTGATGATGCCTGATACCTGATATCGGGCACCATCAGCTTTCTTCTCCACATTTGCTCATGCCACCCATTTGTCTTCAGCGATCATATCAGGGAGGTGAGCACACAATGATATAATGTTTTCTTCTTTGATGCCTGATACCTGATCCCTTTGACACCTCATGATCGCACAGGCTGGTGTGCTTCTTCCATGGGGGCTTTGTTGCTTCTGACCTAAATGGCCAGTTGTTTACCTTCAAGCCTTTAAGACTCCAGGCGCTATAGGCCCGGCCTTTCTTCCAAGGCACCCCTGGGTGCTTTTGAACCAGCAACCTTTTATCTGTTAGGCAAGGGCTTAACCATTTGCATTCCTAGAGGCCCTAGGTGCTGGCATGCTTCATACAACTGTTAGGGGACCAAGTTGGACTGAGGCTGGTAAAACGGGCTGTTTCTACCGTGACTAGAAATTAAAAACAAAACAAGCTCACCTCTGCCGAGTCTGTTCCGACAGCTAATATTGAGCGTGGTATTAGAACCTCCCAGTCACTGCCAAGTGGGTGCCAGCTCATGGCCACCCTATAGGTAGGACAGAACTGCCCTGTGGATTTCTGAGGCTAACTCTTGAACGCCTCTCCTTTCTCCCTCAGAGAGGCTGGTGGTTTGGAACTGCTGACCTCCTGGTGGCCAGCTACCCAATGCATACCCTCTACGTCACCAGGGCTCTCTCGAATGGGATCCACTTGCTGCTGAGTCGGTCCTAAAGCCGGGTGACCCCACGTGACAGGACAGAACCGTGCCCCGAGGGTTTTCAAGGGGGGATTTTTCGAAAAGATGGCTGGCAGGCCCCGGAAGAAGGACATCATGCTTGGTATAGCGGAGGGGCAGCGACAAAGAGGACGGCCCTGTACAAGAGGGACCGACACAGTGGCTGCAGAAGTGGGCTCCAGCGTAAGAACCCGCCGGCCCGGGCAGTGTGTCCTTCTGTTGTCAGTCAGGTCACTCGGAGTCCGATCGGACTCAGCGGCACCTCCCTATGGTGATGACGGTTCCTCGCCCCCCCCCCACCCCCCCGACCCTTCTGGGTGGCCTCCAACCACCCAGCATGGTCACAGTTTGCCTCTTCAGGGACCCCAAGGTGTGACACATCCACCCACTGCCATCAGGTCACTCGGATTCATAGCGACGCTGTAGCAGTCGTCCTCAACCTGCCTAACGCAGCGACCCTTTCAGAGTTTCTCGTGCGGTGGTGACCCGCCCCCTCAACTAGAAAACTATTTTCGTTGCCCCTTCCTAACTGTCATGTTGCTACTGTTATGAATCGGGGGACCCCTGTGAAAGGGTCGTTGGACCACCCCCAAAGGGGTCGCGACCCACAGGCTGAGAACCGCTGCTGGAGCGTTCCCGAGGCTGTCCATCTTTACAGATCAGACAGCTTCAGCTTGCTCCCTCGGAGCGGCTGGCGGGTTTGAAACACCAACCGGAGAGCTAGCAGCCCAGCACTGGCTTAGGTGACGCCCAGTAACGTAATAGCAATGACTGAGTGCCGATTCGGGGCCCAGGTCTCCTGCGTCCCCACTGGCGGAAACTGAAGCAGACAGCGGAGGGGGCAGT